TCCCTCCCTTCCTCCCTTCCTCCCTCCCTTCCTCCCTCCCTCCCTACCTCCCTCCCTCGGAGCGACAGGAGCTGCCAGAGCCGGGCAGACACCGAGCACGGGTGTTTTTCCAGCCCTGGCAGATCCCAGCAATGAGCAGCACCACGTAGTTCCTTTTTTATTTCCCCTTCTCCGAGGTTTTTCGCCTAAAAGCACAGACACGCTCGACTGGTCTTGGTGTGGTAATCTTAGAACAGCAAGAGGAAGGGAAAAGAGCCAAGATAGAAGCACACCTGACATCTGTCCCCTCGTAACCGAAACGTCTTGTGACTCAGTTCCCTGCAACGAGACCGAAGTTTCAGAGAAAAAGTATTTGAAAACCTCTCTGGATACTTCTGCAGTACATAGATCAGCTCTCCCAAGTCCTTCCCATCACCAGACTGTCTCTTCCCAGGGATGTTCCTGCTCCTTCAGTCTGTGTTGGAAAGGCTGCAAAGCTGGGAGGCTGCTGCTTCCCTGTCCTCTCTGCTCCCTGGATCAGAGTTTAGCTCAAGCTCAGAAACCCAGAGCCTGATAAATTAAATCAGACCCATGTCCCAACAACTAGAGTTCTGTGTAGAACTGCAGGTGCTTTTTTCTCACCACAGAACAGGTGCAGTTTTATTTATAGATACTTCTATCCACCTTCTTGTGTCAAGCAAATACTGAAGTTAACTAAAACAGAGAGAATGCACAACTTCACTGAGTCTTTGGTGATTCATTTGGGTTCTGGTGGACCTGATGGCAGACAAGGCTCAGTTCAGACCATTTTTTTTCAGACATGCTCAGCTTCTCCACATAGTCACCTCTGGGTCAAATTTTCCACATATGGTCTAGGACCAGAGATACCTTTTGCCTCAGACTACGGCACCATTTCCAAAGGCAAATGAGTTTTGAAACTCAGAGCCTTAACAACTGACCAGCTTCCACTTGGACTCTCATGGATGGAATTGACATGTTGTCTCTCAATCCAAGGTTTGTTTCTAAGAGCAGGAAATAATTAGCATCTCGAGACTTTTAAACCTCCTCCACTTCTGGAGAAGCTAGAGATGACCTCCAATGTGTGTTAATTAATCCAGTTATCAGAAACTTCTGACACCAGCTTGTTGTAAGCATCAGTGGCATTGCCACTACCAAGCCATCATCAGTGACCACTGCAGGTCTTTTTCCATCCACCATTTTCTTTGCTTCTGAGTGACAAATTAAAAGAAGGCCACAGACCAGACCAGACTGCTAGTGGATGGGGTGTTCTCTGGAGATACCCTGTGCCCTGGTACAGCTCCTCCTCTCCACTCACTCAGCGTAGCAAGGACACAAAGGCACCACTATTTTGACTCACTTTACCCAGGCACCTCCATCCCCAGCTTTTTAATTGGAAATTCTCAGTTCAGCATGTCCAGGGCCAACTGGAGGCACAGGACAAGTAAAGAGACTGGGATGATGAGGCTGGTTCCTGTTTCTTTTCAAATGTTCAATTATTCCTCCCTTAGCCTCTGCCTCACAGTGAGGTTGGGAGTCTAGCTCCTCACTCAGCTCAGAATTTGAGCCTATGGGGAGGGTCTACCAGCCCCTTGCCAAACTACCACAGTTCTTTACACTCACTCCCCCAGGAAATGTTCTGGAAATTCAAAAAGTCACACAGAAAAGGATAGTCCATAAAACAAACCTTCTTCTAAAGAACTTGCAAGCTTGGCAGAAACCCCCAGAGACATGCAGGTGGCTGAATGGGACTAAAAATAGCTCTCCCACCACCCCCTACAGACTGTATGCAGACATGCAGATTTAGCAACTGAAATTCAGATGTGCTTAGCACCAGCAGCCAGGGAAAACCACCGAAATCAGCCTCATGCAGAATAGAATTCTGCTGTTTCTCCCCTGCAGTTTGAAAATACTCATGAGTGCCTGTGCTTGGATTTCACTAGCACTGTATTTCTATCAATGCAGTTTGGCAAAACAGACCAGAACTTGCCTCTTCTTTTTCTGCTGCCTTCATCCCCTCCTCTTGTGTATTTCTAAAAAATATCCTAGTTTTAGATAGAAGCCCCTACCTGCCCCTCTCCCCTGCCCTGGGGTTAGCCAGGTATAGTTTTAACCTGCAAAAGGTGAGGCACAGGGAATATCTTGCAGCTGCTTCAGGAAAGAGCTCCACGTAAAACTGTTTGCAATACTTTCTGCGGAAGGGGGAAAGGAAACAAAACCAAATTTTGCCCTCCTAAAGATGGAGCCCTAGTGAGAGAAGAAGGTTTGTAAAGGAGAATCATGACATAATCTGATGCCCTGTGAAGAGCTGGGCTTGTACCCATCATCCCCCACCACCTCCCAGGGGAAACCTTGCACTTGAGCACTGCTGATGTAATGCAAAAGCTCATTGCATCATGCAACTGCCAGATGATAAGTTTGTCCTGAGACAAAAAGCTGAGGACACAAGTCTAACAGCTCTAGCATTAGAGACCCAACCAGCAGGCTCTGAAGACAGTCTGAAAGGTGACAGGCTGCCCTTCTGGCACTGGGATGCCTGGCAGGGTTTGTCTAATTACTTCGGTCTCCAGAGAGCCTGGCAAGAGCAACCAGCTCTAGGTTGTGTGAAAAGCCTTTATCGGGTCACAGAGCTGCTGCCCTCCTGTGCAGGGAAAAGCTGGAGCACACAGTGAGATTTATCAAGTGTTAATTGAAAGAAACAGACATGGCAGGTAGCAGAAATCCAGGAAACACTGATGCAATAACCCTGGCTAAGAATGGGCCTGTCAGCATCATACTTTGCTCTGCCTCCTCTTTTGGCCCCTAATGCAGGTGTTTGGAGGCCCTTACTAAGACTGGGCTTCTCTGACGTGGCCTTTTCTATGCAAGACACACACACACTTCAGAGACACCTCTAGTCACTACAAGTTACATCGCAGCGTTTGTTTTTCAGAGTCACACAAGTGATCCCAAATCTGGAACAAAAATATCCCACATTGTCTCCAGTAGTCCCCTCCTTCAGAAAAAGCCTGCTCACACAATACCTCAGAGCTTGGCTGGGACCTGACTTGTATACCACAAATCCCATGGAGTCTCTTTTCCATTGATAAGGAAAGAAACTCTTTGATGCAGTGGGCATTGCTGAAGAGTTCAGCTTTGCCACAGATCTGTTGTTGCTTCCAGCTCTTTGGAGGCAGGTTGAGCTCTTCTTATGTGTTTGTACAGAATCTGCCACAAAGAGGATTCTGCTCTTGAAGCCTGAAATAAATTTCTCTGAGTAATGTGATCTCTAAGTCCGAATTCTCAAAACTAGTACCTGAGGACCAGGGTGGTTGTGCACTCCCTTGCACTTAGCAGCTTCATTGCTTGTTGGTGATGAACAGAACAAAATGCACAGTAATAGTGCAACCCCCTGCCCCCCTTTACCTTTGAAAGCCAGAGGTCTTGGTGCATCAAACAGGCCTGGTTTCAGTCCCCCGCCACGTTTTCTACGGTCAGTGCTAGACGGCTGGGCTGTTTATTTTAGGAAGCAAACAGCTGTATCATTTGCACACGCCCTTATAGGCAGGCACAGGCTCTCCACTTGTGTTCTTCAAAAGAAGGGAAGCCAAGATGAAGAGCTCTTTGTTGCTGTGCGTGGCCTTGGCCGTCTCCCTGGGGGTCATCCTGGTAGCAGGTAGGTGGAAAATGAGGATCATGGAAAGCTGTGCTTAGGTAACAGTGACAGGTTTTGTGTGATGGGTCAATAATTTTAAGTAAAAAATCAGACCTCAAAGCCTGCTCAAGCAGTTTTGCTTCAGTGGTGCCTGGAGACCCCAGTGTCTTTCTGCACCCCAGAGCCATTTTTAATAACTGCCTTGAGGCTAACGAGCTGATGACTAGCTGCAAATTTAAGGCTATGATTGACCATTTTTGATTGAGTTTCTGAAGCAACAAACCACAAACATGCACGCTTGCTTTTCTGCAGTGCTAGGCAGCTTGCAAGGCTTCTACCTGCTAGATTCAAAGCTTCTAAAATCTTCCTGGTAATCCTGTCACATGGCTACAGCCAACTTGTTTCCCATTAAACTGTAGTTTATCATGTAACTCCACTGAATTCCTTAATGACTCAACTGAAACTGAGCTCAGACTGATCCCAGCACACTCCCCAGTGTGGCTCATGGGTGGGTGACTGTACTGATGCCAGAGCTTCGTGTGATACTCTAAAGTCATCCTTGTCCTCATGGTGGATCTGGCCTGCAGGATTCAGGCCATGCTGAAGGATGACCATACCAACAGGACAGAGAGCATCATCCCTTCATTTCCTCCAGCTTTTGGGAAAGGGCATCTTACTGCTTACCCAGGCAGGTCCTTGGAAAGTACTGCTTCCTGGGACAAGTGTCCAGATGTGTAACCCAGTAGCTGGCAAGGCAGAAAACAAACACTGTGTTGGTTCAATGCAGAGTCCAGTCTATTTTTTCCTGTTCATATAGGTAGCTTATAGGGGAAGTAATATCTGAGTTACATGCACCTATAAGACTGCTGGTTTTATTACTTATGTAGAAATTAATGTATTTTGGGGCCAGGTGAGGCTCTTTCCTACACTATTACAGCAGCCACTTGCACACACAGCAGAGCATGAACAGACATTTTTTGAATGCATTTGGTTCCTCACTATGCTGCAGCTGGATTCTCCTGGGCTTCAGTGTATTACAGGATGACCCAATATTGGAGGCTGAACAATTTTGTCAAAATAATCTCTGCCTGAGTGTTGAGAAGGAGAGGGACACAATACTGCAGTAAATAATGCACCAGAAAACCCAACCTGCAGGAAGTCAGAAGGGCATTGAGAAATTTTAGATTTAACTGCCTTCTCCTTTATGAATGATACATGGAAATATTGCTGATAAAACTATCTTTCATGCAGCTTTGGAATTTTACTTAAAAAAAACAACACAGGGAGTACTAGTATTTTCTACAGTTACTGAAGCCAAGAGCATTACAGAACAAATTAATTCAGAACAATATTTTTAGAGCGCAGTCAACTCCCCCAAACAAACATATTTATAAAAGAGTATATTAATATAATTTTAGAAGAGTAATTAAAACCTACTCCAAAGATTTTGGGACAACTAACAAAGCCTATAGGATCTGGCTTGAGTATTTGCTTTGGATTAAGGGCTTAGAATTGCACACAATGTTATATAGAACACAGTGACAGACAGAGGGAGAACTACCTGAAGGACAAGAAACCAGAAACTTTCTATAAGATGAAAGAAAGGCCAAGACTCAAGGAGGCAGACACTAAAGGGTCTGGCCTGCCACTGTGTGCACATCTGTACAGCTGGCCAGTTGTGCTGCATGTTCTGCAGAAAAAGACTAGAAGAAGGGCTCAGTGGGCACATGCTGCAGAGGGAAATAGAAAACTGTGAGAGCAGGAGGAAGGGCAACATCTACATGCCTTGTTCCACTGCCCAAAGCAAGGGGGCAAAGTCCTTTTCTTCCTAAGGGAGAAACTCCATTCTTCCTAATGGAGCCTTCCTGCTGGGTCCTGTAGTGCTTTTTGGCATCTGTTCCTCCAGGGACATGAAGGACAACACACTCCTCAAGGAAAACTGAGACACCTGCCACCTTGGCAAGGTCAGAGACACTTAGTTAGAGGCCAGGTCCAAACTAGGGCTTGGACTGCTAGAATAGTCCTGGTGCTCAATAGTCCTGGTGCAACCTCCACTGTTGGGGGAAAAAGCAGCACTTCAGCTGCCAGGTATAGCTGGAGGCTTGCAAGAGGATTTGCTTCCCATGTAATGAGAAACCCCTGAATGTTTGCCTCCCACCAGTCACACAGTGCCAGGTTAATTGTTTTCTCTTCCCCGGTCCCATCACCTCCACACACAGCAGCTACTGCAGCCTGCAGGGAAGAGAGATTCATTCATCTTTGTCAAGAAGGTCATTTGCAACTGTAGCAGCCTGGACTTTAATCAACCCTCATGCTAGAATGGTGCAGTTCTGGCATTCTGATTACTTGGCTCTCTGCTAGAGCAGGTGTCAAGGATTTTCTTCTTGACTCTAGGACTGTGTATCCTGTGCTTCCAGGTTATCCACGGGAACCAGAGGACAAGGAGAACGTGCTGGTCAATAACAAGTGTCAGTGTGTAACAGTCACCTCAAAGCTCATCCCCTCCAAAGAAAATCCTGATGAAGAAGTTGTGGAAAGAAACATACGCATCCTGTAAGTGGCAGAGCATCTGTAACACTCCATCTCCTATCTGTGTAGTAGGAATTCCCTGTTCTATGCATTGTTTCCCATGTCCTGGCATTAATGAAGTGAACTGGCTTTCCTGTGGGCTGCTTCAGAGTATTCTGGAATATTTCCCTTTGCTTTGTGTTTCTCTAGCTCACAGGAGCTATCTGGTGTTTGTCCCCTCAGATACAAAAAGCATCTCCATGTTTTAAGCAGTGCAGTAGCAGCCTTACAAAATAGGCTGGGGAAGTTGAGTTGATATAATCTGAAACCAAATTTGGCCCAACTCATTTACAGATCTGACAGCAAGTCTGCTATTTTATAGACTGGGAAAGCTAGTTAATACCTAAATTATGAGAAAAGGTTAACCCTATGAGACAGATGTCAGTTCAAGAGTAGGATTTTGTCCTCTTTATTCACACAGACCTCACAGAAGTGTGTATGCCTCTTGGAAACATGGACTAAGTACAGGCTCAGAGCTGCAGGAGTTCTGGTAGAGCTCACAACAGGATAAAGGCTAATTAAACCTCTGTCTCTCTCCTCCAAGTTTCCTAGGCATTTGCCAGTTGAGAGTCAAAAAAATATTATGAGCACTCTCAAAGTGACTCTTTCAGAAGTTGCTGCTTTTGAGGCCACAGAAGGGCCAGTATCTGCCTTTCCTGTGCTTAGCTATGGAGAAGGGTTGGAATGGAAATAACCTAAAGAACAAGACAAGACCTGAGAATTGTTCACAGCAGAGTAGTGCCCTGCTTAATAAGCAGTTTTCATGAGTGATTCTCTTCCTTCCTTTGCAGAGTCCCCCTGAAGGCTCGAGAAAACATCTCTGACCCCACATCCCCACTCAGAACCAAGTTTGTCTACCGCATGACTGATCTGTAAGTAATTTTATTTACTAAGCTAATTTCCCAAGACTTAACATCCCTTGCAGCATTGCTCACAGCAGCTCAAAACTGTGCTTTAAGGCCAGTAAAGAAGGCAAGGCAGGGTGACAGAGGGAAGGTTTCCCCATGGAGCCTAGCTTTCACAGTCTGTTGTAAGACAAGAAATTATTCTCTCTGTGATTAATTCACATTAAAAGGTCTCACATTTACAGGGACCATTGCATTCTTACTGCTCTTCATCTTGCATGTTTTAAATATCAGTAAACTACATATTGGCTGTTTAAGGCTCCCTTTTAGGAACCAGTCTTGCCAATAGCAGTTTGACAAGACTAAAAGCCTCTGGCTGGGAGTTCCAGCTGTGTAAAACCTAGCAAGGCCATGGCACCCTCCTAGTCACACCTGCAGATCAGCAAGATTTGGGTTTCACCAGGCAATACCTTATCATCACAACTCATAACACCTGTTCTCTTCTCCATCTCTTCCAGCTGCAAAAACTGTGAGCCTGTAGAAACTGAGCTGGGTGGTAAGATATACCAGGTCCAGCCGGGCAACTCCTGCAGTGAACCTGAGACCTGCTACACCTACAACCGGGACAAGTGCTACACCACAACCCTCCCCTTCCTCCACCGCGGGGAGATTCAAAAGGTGCCAGTAGCTCTGACACCAGCATCCTGCTATGCTGATTAGCTCAATCCACTGCTCCACTAGTGCCTTGTCACACACAGTGTTCCTTTCCAAGATATATGTAGAGCATCCTTAGTACTTGGGCAACAGTGTCTAAAATACCAGCTCCCAGAGTAATGCCAACCTGCCTCTCCATCTGGTTATCAACATCAGTGCCTTCTCCCCAGAGCAGCTACTGGTTGATACAGATTGTTCTCATATCCCTGGCACATTCCTGACATGCCATGATTATGTCTCAGATATTATCACCAGATCCTCATCAGATGTAAATCAGTAATTACCTTGAAGTAATGGGAATGACATCATTTACATCACTGAGCAACCTATCTTTTCAACTGTCTTCCCTACCATGGACATCAGTAGGAATGTTCATGTGTTTCCCTCCCTGACCAACCTGAAGCAAACCTATGTACTACCTTTATACAACACCCTTTGACTACATCAGCAGAATTTGTGCCATTAGTAGAAGGCTGTTGTACAATCACATTGGAGAGACAAGATGAGGGATGGGACCAGGAATTCAGATTTCCAAGTTACTTTACAATTGGGCATTTTAGCTCCTTCCAGCACTTCAACAATTGCAAGCTTCTCCTTTTCACATACATTTAGAGATCAAAAGACATCACTACCCTGAAGTGCTTTGCAAGGTTGCCAGGACCTCAGCTGTGCCAGGACTAGTAAGTACCCCTAGGACAAGTTAGGTATTTCACTTTCCATGCTTATTTACTAATACTGCTGCCTTCTTCCACCCCTGTTCTCAGTTCATTTAATTAAAACCCACAATTTGGCTCAGGTTTCTTTTCTTGCTCCTCATTTTGCATTTAAAGCTTCAAGAAATTCTATGAAGGTGACTCAGTTGCTAGACTAGGACCCTAGTTAGGGATTCCTTCTTTCTTTCACACCAGTAGTCTTTTCTTCTTCATAAAATAAACCCTCATCAAATAAAGGAGCTAATTCTGTATCGCACCTGACCTTATTTAAGGCATTACACTCAGAGTTGCCCACAGAGACATCAGGTATATGAGTAAGGTATTATGTTTGGGATGGCTGGTATGTTTCTCATTGTTGTCAGAAGTTGATTGTAAAGCCTTAGGCTGTTCTGAAAATCTAGCTGCATATATCATTTGAATTAATAAAACAGTAAAAACCTTATTCCCATAATTGTAGCTTTGTTAGTAAAAAATTAAATAAAACTTCTTTCTGCAGCAGTCTGTGTGTTATATTCCAGTTCATGAAAAACTCATCAGAAAAAGCCAAATCTATAATATTATTTCCTCCTTTACAGTGAAGCAAGAAGCTCTCCCTAAATAACTGCTTATTCTTACAGCCAAAGCCTCCTGAAATCCTGCAGTAGAAATATTATGGTGCACTTGCTGAAACCATGATAGATTGAGTCTGAGCTGGTTTATGATTCTGGGATAAGCTCTGCATCACTGAGCTGCTTCAAGGCCCTGTGAGTCAGGGCAGGATCAGAATTTAAAAACCCAAGCATCACCTAAATCACTCTTGAAATTGAAGTCTGCAGATCAGAATTGTGCCTCACCACTGGAAAACAGGCCTTTAAGACGGAAATATCAGGGGTGTCTGTCCTAAAGACAAAACAGTCTTGTGGGGGCCAAATTAATTTTGTCTCAGACTTATAAGACTACAGTTCTTTCATCTCCTCACTGATTACTTCTAGACTTACTTCTCCCCAGGTCTTTCTTCCTGGTCTAAATACTCTTCTGTTGCTTATGCAAAGTTGAGTTAAAGAGGGATTTCTCATGAGTTTTTGTTAGAACTGACTTTTAAAGCATGGACACATAATTGTGTTTCCAGTTGGACCAAAAAGTTTAACTAGCAGCAGAAACCACAGAACATATCAAAGCTGAACGAAACAAATCCTGGAGCCCAAAGACACTGTTTTACTGTAGGGAATACAGCAAAGAAACCAGCTATGAGCATAACAGTCTAACCTCACAAACAGGTCAAAATGCTGTAGAACAGCTAGTATTTTTGGGTTGTGGTTTTTGGTTGTTTTTTTGTTGGTTTTTTTGTTGGTTTTTTTTTAGATCCCAGCCTGTTATGCCTTAGAGAGATCAGATATGACTTTTATATTCTGTAAAGCAGTAGGCCCAATGTGGGTGCTTAAAACCAGTGAGTTTTAAGCCTCCCCCTGGAGGGCCAGGGTCTGTGACCAAGCCACCTTTGCAGCACAAGCCAGCCTCAGGGCCTTCTAGCCCAGGCTCAGCACTGCTAAGCTGGCCAGGAGGTTTGTGGGCATTGAAAGGCTGAAATCTGGTTTGTACCCACAGTTAACACACAGTACTGGCTCCTGCACATGCTGGTGGCACATGAGAACTTCAGCCTCACAAGCTGCCAAGCTCAGAGTCCCAGGTGTGCACCCAAATACCTGTTCCCTTGCTCCCAGGATACCACTTTGTGCTGGTCCTTCATGCTAAGCCTGGACAGGGGATCCCAGCACTAAAGACC